CTCCTCCTCCTCCTCCTCCTCCTCCTCCTCCTCCTCCTCCTCTATAATATGGTAAAATAAGCTGTGCTATCACTGCAGTTACCACGGATAAGATTGGCTTTCATCATATTAAAAATAGTTACCAAGTTCTCTTTTACAGGAACATAAATTGTTTCTGGATAATACTGGAAAAAAATGCTTTATAAAAGGTAGGATATAGGCAAAATTTCAAAAGAGGAACCATTACTCTTTCCTTCAGTCTGACAACTTCCAGGTAGCTAATTGTTTTCATTCCGTTTTGGACTTTACAAAACTGGTATGATGGGGAAATGCTATTGTTTACCCCAACCGCTTGACAAAAGCAATTCCCACGTGAATGACCAGCTTGGCTGTGGTACTCAGCCCTGCTACCTTAAAGAAGGAAATGGGTGGGTGAGTTCTCAGGCACAAAAAACCATCATGTTGACACCCCCCCCCCGTTTTAATAGCAAAGGCAGTTTTGTTTCCATTTTTGCTCTTGCTATTGTCATTCCCACATTTGACTAAAATTTCTATATAATAATTAATCATAAATGAACACCTATCCAAAATATAATAGGTACACATGGTAAAAAAATAAAGTTATCAGATCTATTCAAAATAGTAGATTCTTTTCTTCTATAGATTTTATATTACAAAGGAAATCTTGAAATAAATCACAAAAGAGACTGACAAGAAACATTTAAAAGTAATGATAGATTGTGTTTAATTCTCTATCAGTAGTTTAGTCATTTTAGAAATCTTATTACCATTTGGAAATGAAAAAAGAAATGATGTGTGTTTCTGTGCGTCTGTGTGCCTGTGTCAATATGTATGTGTGTGTGTGTTTCATACACATACATACTGTACATACACAGATACATACATATACTTGTAGCCTTAATTTTAAATACATTAAATATTTGCGGTGATGATGGAAACCTTATTAGTAAGGGTAAATGTGGTAGTTTTATTTATTAAGTTAGTTTTAACAGTTACATATTTCTTCATTATAATGTCAATGAAGACTTTTCCCATTCATGTCAACAAGTGTTTAACATAGTATGTGATTTATTTGAAAGGAAAGCAAAGGGAGACCCAATGGAAATCTCCCACAATCTATTTACTCAAAGAAAATGGGTCCAATTTTGATGGATTTATATAGTCTAATTCATGCAAACAATGTCTAATTTCAACATGTTATTTTTCATTTTAGATCCTCAGAGCTTTCCCTGAGAAAAGTTTTTTTTTAAAAAAATGAGTGTATTTAAGGTAGAAAAATGAATTCAAATAAATAAGCATAATAACTTGCTCAGCAGGCAATATTTATAAATCCACAAGGAGCAGATTAAAGTAAATAATACCATAGTCCAGTCAATCTCTCAAACTGAGCTGTGCTTATTCTGCACCAAAGTTAACTTATAAAACGTCCAAGGTTGACCAAAGGCAGCAGTCTTTCTATTTAAAAAAAATGTTTTCAGTTTATGCAGCTTTGACACTTTGGGAGGAGGCTGAATATCAAAGCCTGAAGAGGTTGGGTCCAAAGTTTTTCATTAGCACTTGGTGGGAGACTGCAAAGAACAATACAACATAACACACAAAATGCAATGCAGGGGGTGGGGAACTCTTCCAAATTCCAACTTCCACATCTTTGTCAAAGTAGAATAGGACTTTCTGAGCCAAATTGGAAGCCCAGGTTTAGGGACAAGGTGTTTTTTTTTGGTTTATTTTGGGATGGAGGCCTTTCTTTTCTCTCTCTTTTTTTGGCATTGTTACTCCTCCTTTGTCCAAACCTCCATATTTGGAAGTGTACAGTAGTGGTCAATCAAGATTATATCAGTGAAGTGTGTCACTTTTTAGTTAGTCCTTTATTGGCTTACATTGTGTTGTGTTGTACAATCATTCCTTGCGCTCTTAAATTTGTGGATCCGTGAGAAAACAGCCTTTTTGTTACAGCGCTCACCTCTGATGGCAACGTTTTTCTGTTGAAGCACATCTTTGCCAGTGTATATGTTTGTTGCTCGGCAGATGTAGGTGCCTGAATGTTCAAGCGAAATGTTCTTGACGATGAGAGGGAGCTCCGTGGAATATTCCTTCACAATGGCTTTTCTAATTCTTGTTTGGTTGTTAGCTGTCCTTGGTAAAAGCCAGGTGAGGTCTTTGTACAAGTATTTATTTGCTAGACATGACAACACCAGTGTTTGTCCTTCAACAGGTGCCTTCTTCAAGTTAATAGACAATCCATTTGGTATATCTGTCAAAAACCAAAGCATTATTTTAGTTCATAGGAAATCTTTAAAAAAAGATATAATTTCTAGGACATAGTCCAGGAAATTATATAACTGTATGGTATGGTTCTGCAACCCAACAGGACAGACACAGACTTCAGAGAGTAATTAGGACTGCAGAAAAAACAGTTACTACCAACTGTATACTGCTTGAGTCAAAAAGAGGGCTGAGAAAATATTTACAGATTCCTCACATCCTGGACATAAACTGTTTCAACTTCTACCCTCAAAACGACACTACAGAGCACTGCACATCAAAACAATTAGACACAAGGACAGTTTTCCCCCGAATGCCATCACTCTGCTAAACAAATAATTCCCTCAACACCGTCCAACAATTTACAAGGTCTGCACTACTATTACTATTAATCTTCTCATTACTCCTTATCACCCATCCCCTCCCACTTGTGATTGTATGACTGTAACTTTGTCGCTTGTATCCTTACAATCTATATTGACTGTTTCCTAGTATGATTTGATTGCTTTTTGTACCCTATGACTATTATTAAGTGTTGTACCTAATGATTCTTGACTCTTGATGAATGTATCTTTTCTTTTATGTACACCCAGAGTCTTTGCACCAAGACAAATTCCTTGTGTGTCCAATCACACTTGGCCAATAAAGAATTCTAATCTAATTCTAATCCTTCCTGGAGCTGAAATGAAATGGTGGTGGGTGGGATTATTGAGTGAATGGAGGACATAATGGGAACACTTTTATGATGCATGGATTATTTTCACAGAAATTAACTTGATGAAACACATAGAGTGGTATTTGATGAATATTTGTTATGATCAAAGAATCAATATGTAAAGGTCTTAAAATATAGGCTTATTTTATTTCTGACAAAGCATGTGGGTTTTCCGCTTTTCTTATCACTCTTCTTGTCACTAGGTATCTAGTCCTGATTAAGGCAAAGTTTGAACACCCTGATTTTGAAGGAGACCAATTAATGCTTTACACTGCCACTAGTCATTCTTTTCTGTTACATATAAATTTAATATCAAAAATTACAATCCTTTTCTGGTCACAGAAAAGTTTCTTGGAACCTGAATTGCAATATAAAGTTGTGGGGAAAAAAAGCTAAAGTTTCTACTACTAAGTTTGTAAAATTTTACAAAAATGTGAAATTACAATGTCAAAAACCAAGTTCAGAAGTACTTCGATGCCAGTGAGCAGCATTCCCCTGTTACTGGGAACAGCAGTTGGAAAGTGTTAATATATTTTATGCTGCCCTGCATAAATTGTATCTATTTAGCCTTTATGGAAACACACAAGAGTAAAAAAATAAATTTGTCTGTATCAGAAGTAATCCTTGATAATACTTCTGAAGATGCAATCTGAATTCTACTATTGTAATTTAATCAATTCTTATGGTTTAATAGAGGGCCAGGCAACATATTTTTCTGGGGGGAGGTTTATGATGCTCAAACATTTTTGAACTACTTTAATATGTCAATACGGAAGTTACCTGGTTTTGAAAACTACCAGCCTCATCCATGGTGACCATTGATAGAGGGTTAAGAGCAGTATTATCAAAACATTTTGGGAGGGTCAGTTCGCTTTTTCTAAAAGAAGTGTCACTTCTAATCCACCTTTGGCATATCATGCATTTGATAATATCATTTTTGAAATGATATATTACATCATTGAAAATGGTGAGCATGAAATAGGCACAATAAACGAATTAATTTTGTTAGAAAGAAAGGAGAAAAAAAGAGATACTTTCTAATATGCATTTACTAAAAAAAAAAAATACTTTTTAAAGCACCTCACAGTATTAAAACCTGAGACTAATTGAATAGTGAGCGGCTGGAGTAATGTAAAAGAGTTATATTTACTTTAGTGATTTGAAACTTCCTGTGGAAATCGCTCCCAGGTTTCCTGATGGAAGATTTTGTTTATCTTTGCCAAGCACCATCAGGAATCTCAAAATAAAATGCCTTTAGTGACACTGGTCAGCCGGGAGATAAGGCTACACTGTTCCTGTCTCACCCTCAGTAATTGCAAACCCACCCAGGGTCCTGCTGTGTGCCAGCAAAACAGCCCAACAAATAGGGGAAGGATCAGAGTGAAAGGGTGGAGTGTATGGAAGATAGAGAACGAACCACTCAACATTTGGAGATAGCTAAGGCGGCCACGGTAACTTTGATTATTAAGTCCCTAAAACGAAATCTACTTAAAACAAAAACTTCAGATTCATGAAGGCTAATCTGAATAGACAGCAGGGGCAGAAAAAACCCTAATCACAGAAAAAAAATATATTAAAACAGGACTAAGCTATGGTCAATTGATGTCTTTTTCAACTTTGTCTGCTCCTTTGCCTTTGATTGGTTCTGCTTCCTTTTTCTTTTTAAAATCTAGAGGAGATAATTAATTATTGGAGGATTTTTCTATGTCAAATTCATAATCAAACTAATTGAAAAATAGTAGCTTAGGGATCCACAGTGATCTATAATCAACCCTCATTGGGTGAAGCATATCATCTTGGTGTGATGCCCTGCATTTTGACTAATAGATAGCAAAAAAAACCTCCACATTTTTTTTCTACAACTATACTTTCTTGTTCAGTCTGAAAAAGATATACCCTGAAAGAAGAAGGGAAATTGTATAACTTCTTATGAATAACTCATAGTGTCTTTGCCTCTACTTAACTACAAGGTGGCCAAAGGATTGGCTGAATATCTTGTCTTTCATACATTGCATAATATTTCTGCAGAAAATGGAAATCTCCTTGCATTTTTGCTTTCCATTAAATCTTAGGGACCCCTCTGTATTTTATTGTAGCAAGACAATTGCTAACACCAAGAAGAATTCCACCTTTTGAAAAATTAAGGGACAAAATCTCCCGGAAGAACTGATGGACAATATTCACCCAGGATTTCTCCTCATAAATGTGGCGGGAAATTGGGAAAGGCCAATTGTGCCCACCTTTGAGTTCACTAACATTTCAATCTAATTAATTGACAGTATAGAGTAGCAAAGTCTCAAAAGAGAATGGCCTTTTTAACCGCTCCCCCATATGTTCCTGTCCCCACCTTAGCATTCTCTCTGGTTTTGCCAGACTTAAAATGAAAACAAACTTAAAAGTTGTTGAAAAGCTAACAGACCTCTAGCAATCAGTCTAGCCCCAAAGTATCTATTTTGAATACACTGAAAGGAAATCCTTTTTAGCATCCTGGCCTTTTGTTCACAGCCATCAGCATTTTGAATTGGCATTAGTTTAAAGATTTTTTTGTTGTTGTTCTTCTTGTTCCCTAGTAAATCAGAACATTTAGGGTTTTTTTTCCAACTGATTGGGAGAAGAAAATGCTAGCTAATTACACTAGCTTAAGCTTGAGCAATTTCACACAGATGCTTTTCTCATACCATACTTTTTCTTAAGCCCATAGCAAGACCTACTTGAGTCTGAAAATGATTTAAAAAACTTTCCTTTCTTGGCAGGACCACAGGGTCCCATGGTTTACTTTCCTTCTGTTCGTGTGAATCCAGCACGCATGTTATGTCAGAGTAAACCAAGCCATGACGGATAAATAGACAAAATGTTTATAGTCATTTAGTACTCATAGTTTTCATTATATTTTAGAGTTTAAGGATCCATTTGTTAAGTCATTAAGGTGAACAAATGTAGCATGGGAAAACTTTTACAATAATATTTTAAGATGCCATGAGATGCTTTGAAATGGCAGCAACTTCTTTGATAACTGCATTCAAGAGAGATGCCTAATTATATTAGCTGTTGATTATATTTACAAGCCAAAACATTAGCACTAATATAAAATGTTGTTGCATCTATCATAACTAATCATTAATCACAAAATGGCAAAAAAACCTAAATGTCATATGAATTAGTGGAACATGAAATCTACTTCACCTGTTACAAAGTAACTGATGTCTCTTTTGTCCTTTCCCAGTTTATTGGATGCTATGCAGCTGTAGGTTCCAGATGTTCTGGATTCAGCCACAACCAAGATGCTAGCGGTCTGCGAAAGGAACAATAATTTTATGTTTATACATTTGAATTATTTTTCACAGATCCAGCTAAACAATATCTCTAATGTGATTCAGTTATATATTTTTAAAATGATTTTATTAAAGCTTACAAATACTGTGCAAGGATAAAAGTAGAGAATAGTGCACAATGATTTAAAAAAATAAACAAAAAATGTAAGAAGATACATAAAACATCATTCTCCCCTCTCCTCAGAACAGTATAAACAATTTCAGTAACTGGTTCAATTGCAGCGTTGACGCAATCAAATGCAAATTTCATTGTAGAAAAAGCCTATGAAGGTAATTGGACAATTAAGAGGAAAGCCGTTTTCCCGAGTGACTTTTATATTATCATAGTAATTTCCTTTTGAATATATCAAATTAGAATGTTTTATCTCATGCTTAAGATGCTACAACCAGTGAGGTGTGGTACAATGAAGGCCCTGAGTCAGAAAGAAAAATTGGCAAGGAAATTTCCAGGAAAACCTGGCTCCCATTTGGAGAATGAAGAAGCAGCTAAGATAAAGAAGAGATTCTTGCCTTTCTTACTTACAAATCAAATACTAAATACAGTTGCAAGGCGATTATTAATAACTTTGCATGTGGCAAGTTAAAAAATAACAGTAAGAAATTTGGCATTCAGATTATTTTATAAGCAAAATAGAACCTATTTTTAGCACAGATTGCCATTTCATTGTTGAAAATGATGCCCAGTGCTTACATTTAGTGAATGTTCAGAGATAAAGAAGATTCTGGAGAAGAAACACATGTCTGAAAAATGAAGCCACTGAGGATAAACAGTTTTGGGGAGAGGGAGTCATTGTATGATTTTGATAATTTTCAGAGACTAAAATACACAAAATACACTTCATACTGATGGACTGATCAGGGCACTCCAACTTTGGTGACTTTAAGCCTAGTGGACTTCAACTCCCAGAATTATGGGAGTTGAAGTCCACCAGGCTAAAAGTCACCAAGGTTGAAGTTCCCTGGTCTAGATATTCCCTTAATGAGTAGTCTCACTTTTGTTCTGAAGGTCTGCTTACAAAGCAAAATTTAACTTTGCTGTGATTAATAACAGGGAAAGAACCAACAATGGAAGCTGTCATTGTTTTACACAAACATCACATTCATAAACAAACCACACTTTTGTCTGATGTTTTAGCCTTCTCCTCTACCATCCTCAACAGCAGCCTGCCAACATTTTACAATGCATCCTAAAAAAATTTCATTAGTCACCAATATGTGACTAAACACAACTGGTGTTTAGTTGCCAAAGATAAAGGATGATCTCTATATAACCGCTTTCTTCTGTTTTTTTTTTAACCATAACTTTTTTTTTAATAAAGAAAAGCTGATAATTAAACAAAGACAGGTTTCACTGACATAGTATTCATATGCATAATATTCTTTGACCCAAAAGACAAAGCATTCACAGCCATACAAGAAACACACATATCTCTTATGGCATATAAATAACACTGATTCTTGCCTGCACAAGTGTAATAGCAATACAGGAAGATTTTTATAATAAAAAACAATCGCATGAGATATCGTAGATACTTCTTCCTGATTAATGTCTTTTAATACATATCTTGATATAACTCACAATTGAAAAGATGCTTATTATGCTTTTGCAAATCAGCCTGTAACTCTGATATCTAATCAGCAGAGATAGTAAGGGGATACATTTAATATATTTCATATCCCACATAAATAACTTTCAGGCAGGGACTAAGAGTTACAGAAGTGATTTTCTGCAACTTGCATGAAAATGTTTAAATTAGTCTTTCCTCTATTTTAAGCTTTGAACAAGGAAACTTTTCTAACCCTGCTTTTCTATCCTTTTAACCCTGCTAAAGGATCTCAGAAAGTTTCAAAATTAAGAAAACAAAAATATTTCCATGGAACCACTCATGTTAATAAAGATTAATTAAGCATTCCTATTTCAATAAGTTTCTCTGTTTAGATGTAACTCAAGGATCTTCAAACTTGGCAGCTTTAAGACTTGCAGACTTCAACTCCCAGAATTCCTGAGCTAACATGACTGGAGGAAGAATTCTGGGAGTTGAAGTCCATAAGTCTTAAAGCTGTCAAGTTTGAAGACCCTTGATGTAACTAGATAGAATAAAATTGCACTGATAAAATTATTAACCTGGCCAACTATAACCAGCTGAAGAGTATAAAAATATAATGGAAAATTCTATCTGATTCTATCTATGAGATGCTAAAGTATTAGGACAAATTCCTCCTATCTTTTGCCATTATAATGAGAAAAAAAACATGTACTAATACTGCAGAAATATAAATCGAAAAGTAGCCCAGCTCAAAACAAAAACATTAAAATACTTTGTTGATTAATTATGTACCCTCAAATTGTTGTCACTTTTCAGTGACCACATAGATATATTTTCTCTATGACTCTTTTTTTTCCAGAAGAAATTTATTTTGTGGATGTTTTTATTATTTTAATGTTCTTAAATTGTTTTATAATTTAAGAATTGTAAGCTGCCCAGAGTCACTTCACTGAGTTGCGTGACTATAGAAATTGAATAAATAAAATAAATAAAACTGTTGTCTTATGGCAACATGTGCTAAGTTATCTCCTAGCAGCTTATTTATTTCAGCCCGTGACAAATAATTTTCTCAATTAATGTGGCAAGAGGAACTTAGCTTTGACAGGATGGGATGATTTGAACTCATACTGGAGGCAATCGAAAATCTTTTGGTGATTAATGATGGCTATAAATTAACTTATACAGTACATCACAATAAAACATTCAATGTTCAAAATTAAGGCTTGCAAATATTAAAAAATAATAAAACACCAAACAACAGTACAATAACAAAAATGACAGGATCAGTCACTTTTCTCAGGACCTCAGAAACAAGTCAAGTTTTAATTGCATATAGAAACCAACAATAAGACGATCAGTTTCAGAGGGACATAGGTGGCTCCATTGAGGAGTATTGCCTGAGACCCTCACTCCACTAGCCATTTGTCCCAAATTGTTCAGATTCAGTTGAATTATTAAGAATTTTGGTGCAAATCTATAAAAAAATTTGTTGCTTACACCTGGAAATCAGAGGGTGAAGACTGGGGAACGGAACAATAGTCTTCAGATCAGACATGGCCATTATGTATATAAACATAAAACACCACCTGGCTTCAAGGCCACCAAATGCCGTCTCAGTATCCTTTAATTTAGAAAGGTGAGCAAACTGAGTCTTAATCTTACACCACAAGGGTTTCTATTTATTCATTTCAGGGGTGGTATTCTATCGGTTCTGTCTGGCTCTGTAGAACCGGTAGCTCTGAAGAGCAGCAGACATAGAACCGGTTCTGTGTCTGCAGCTGTTTTGGTCCACCCACCTGCCTGGGTTCTTACCTGACCTTTATTTCCTGCTTTTTCAACCTCAGCTGCTTTGCGTGGCATGGCTGCGGTTGAAAAGCAAGAAAAAAGGGCTTTTTCAAATGCTGCACACCTGCTGTCCAGGGAGCAAGCTGACGACGTTTTACACACACATGCAGCGTGTGTCAGCAAAACGTAAATCATCGAACTGGTAGTTACACCAGTCGGATCCCACCCCTGAATCATTTCCTTACCAGGTCATTCCAATCCAAACCAGTATTGGAGCAACAAGTTCCTATATCTACAGTTTGAGTTAAATCCAATATCTAACCCCTAATAATCTAAAATGTAAAACCAGAACATGCAGTATTATTAATTATGTGCATGAGAATGGTTACTTATCCAAAGAGATAGCCAAAATAGTCCTGTCTGAGGCTTGGTGAAACAACCAAATCTTCAATGACTTTCTGAAGATCAGACGTGCCAGCCATTTACAGTATCTCTTTTCACTGACAGTCAGCAATCACCTGTTTTGTATGGCTTCTTTTTTGGTCTATAGTAAAGTTTCTAGACAGGTTGACATATTTTCTGTTAATCTTTTTCTAGCCCACAAATTAAGCTTTCAAGTGCCAGGAGATCTGTAATTTACTGACAGGTCCTTTTTAGGAAATAGGAATGTATGGAGGTAAGCAGTCGTACAAATACTCTAGGTCAAGACAGGCAAGATTTTGTATCATGGGGAATATCTTGAGCTGAGCAAAGAAAGCGGTTAGTAACTAAAGGAGCTGTTCAACATGTGGTGATTTAGCACTTCCTAAGAAACACTATTCGCTATCTCAGTACTGCTGTATTTTCAGTTCTTTGTAATTTCCAAGCCATCTTCAAGATCTGCCCCACAAATAGCACATTTAAGTAATCCAGCACTAAGGATTATAGAATAACGGAGTTGGAAGGGACCTTGGAGGTCTTCTAGTCCAACCCTGTGCTCAGGCAAGAAACCCTATACCATTTCAGACAAATGGTTATCCAATCTCTTCTTTAAAACATCTTTACAACTTCTGGAGGCAAGTTGTTCCACTGATTAATTGTTCTAAATGTCAGGAAATTTCTCCTTATTTCTAGGTTGCCTCTCTCCATGATTATGCTTTGCCCAATGTCAGATTTCTGTTCAGAGGAGAAGGTAACACATTTTCATTTTCTTGTGATCGGTATACAATATCAATGCCCCATCAAAAAGGATTCCCATGCTTTATATAAGTGATTTTTAAAGAGAAGTGCAATCTCTCCAGATCAGATATATGTCTTAAGTCTTGAAATCCAATTCCTAATTATCTAGGAAACCACTATCACTAGGCGCATCACTTTTTCCGAATTAACTTGCCTGGTTGCATGCATAAACTCATTTAAAATGGACAGGGAAAAAGAACTCATATTGATTTATATTGTTCTCTGTGCAATTTCTACAAGGGCAAAATATCTGCCTGTCTCCCTTCCAGGTTTCCAGCTTCCATTCATCCAGCAAGTCACAAATACACACACATTTCTCATCTACTTGCTTGTTAATCAACTGCCCTTCTGTCTGAAATCATGAAATATATATTTTTTCACATTTGCTTCATCCTGGCAAAGATTTTGTATTTTGTTTACATCATTTTCCAGATCTTCTCTTTTGTTAAATGTCTTGCAAACATTTTCATTAGCTACCAGAACCAGACATTGGATGAAGGCCACTAAAATAATATCATATTCCTTAATACTTTATTCAGTAAACAAAGGAATTATACATTGGCTTCAGATGTTGTGGGTTTGAATTTTTTGGAGATTACAGTGGTAAATGGATTTTTGATCATTTATTTTATTTAAGAGCTGTGGTGGTACAGTAATTAGAATGCAGTACTGCAGGTTAACTCACTGCTCACTCCAGGAGTTCAATTCTGAATGGTTCAAGGTTGACTCAGACTTCCATCCATCCGAAGTTGGTAAAATGAGGACCCAGATTGTTGGGGACAATATGCTGACCCTGTAAACCTCTTAGAGAGGGCTGTAAAGCACTGTGAAGCGGTATATAAGTCTAAGGGCTATTCCTATTGCTATTATGACATAACATTTTGTCCTGCTTATTCTTAAGAGTATGTCAAACTGAGACTTTAAACATTTCCATTCTTTATTGTGAATAGTCACTTAATGCAAGCAAAAGTTTAGTTGTGATTGGAGTAAATTTATTGCCATACATGTAGTCCTCAATTTACAACTGTAATGGAGCCTGCCTGTTACAGTCAGAAGTCATGGTGGTTGTAGAGCAGGTTATCAGAAAACCTCATAAATTGTGGTCATTGCAAGATGCTGCAAACAGATATAAATGGGGTTGGTTGCAGAGTGCCTAGAAGGGGACCATGTGGGGTGGGGTGTGTGTGAATCTGTCAGAGATTTGGAATCAGATTGGAAGTTCCTCGGGTTGAGGGGGGCAGGCTGTTGTAACTTCAAACTAAGCAAGCAGTCATAAGTTAAGGATTACTTGTTTACCTGATGCAAGGAAGTTGCATCAGTTATGTATTTTTACTACATTGCACACAGAGATACTGAGGCAGAGGTATTAACAGATTTAACAGATAATCAGAGTTGGAAGGGACCTTGTAGGTCATCTAGTCCAACCCCCCTCCCAAGCAGGAGGCCCTACACCATTTCTGACAAATGGCAGTCCAATCTCTTCTTGAAAGTCTCAAGTGATGGTGCTCCCACAACTTCTGAGGGCAAGCTGTTCCATTGGTTGATTGTTCTCACTGTCAGAAAGTTTCTCCTTATTTCCAGGTTAAATCTCTCATGTTCAGTTTCCATCCATTATTCCTTGTCTGGCCTTCGGGTGCTTTAGAAAATAGCTTGACCCCTTCCTCTCTGTGGCAGCCCCTCAAATATTGGAAGACCTCTATCATGTCTCCCCTGGTCCTTCTCTTTACTAGATTAGCCAAGCCCAGTTCCTGCAACCGTTCGTTGTATGTTTTAGCCTCCAGTCCCCTAATCATCCTGGTTGCTCTTTTCTGTACTTCCTCTAGAGTCTCAACATCTTTTTTATAATGTGATGAACAAAGCTGGATGCAGTACTCTAGGTGTGGTCTTACAAAGGCAGTATTCAGCAGGTTCTGACCAGTTTTGGAGAACCAGTAGCGGAAATTTTGAGTACTTCAGAGAACTGGCAAATACCACCTCTGACTGGCCCCGCCCTCATCTATTCTCTGCCCCCCAAGTCCCAGCTGAAAGGCTGGGTCTTCTTTTGTTGCCCTGCACAGGAGAACGGAGCTGGAAAGCAGGTTAGTACGGTGGGGAGGTCATGGGGATTTTGCAGTACCCTTCCCCCAGGAGTGGGGAGGGAGTGGAGATTTTACATTATCATTCCTCTGCCACGCCCACTAAGCCACACCCACCAAGCCACACCACACCCACCAAGCCACGCCCACAGAACCGGTAGTAAAAAAAAATTGAATCCCACCACTGTAACTGAGGGCCTGATTTTGAACAGGTGCGATCCATGTTCTGTATTGAGCTGGACGCTCTTGCAGCATGACAGTGTTATCAGTCAGATTTACAACATAGAGGAATTATATCATAATTATAATAAGATTAAAAATTGGCAGTGGCTTTCACCATTATAGTCTCATAAACAACCATTCAACTTTAGCAGGAACTCATAAAAAGGATGTTCAAAGTTTAATTTCCCTCTCCAAAATGTCATACCTTTTTCTTCCCCTCTATTAAAGCTGTTCTTTGTGTAATGCTTTGGATTCTGTTTCCTGTAGTGCTTTCAGATGTCAAAACTAGTGGATTTTCTGAACTGGAGCAAAAGTCATACCTGTGGCAGGACAAATAAGAATGAAGCAACAATTTTATAAAATAGAGCACCAAAAATAGTAAGGCATTCCCATCAACAAATTCTGTTTCAAATTTAAATCAAGCTTTCATTACTAAGTTTCCTATTATAAGCCTGTACCCATTGCCTCGCAATGGAAACTTGAATACAGTTAGTTATTTCAAAGTAAACTCGTGGTTTTCCATTAATTATAGGTAGCAAATTAAATCAAAACATTTTATAAAGACGTGGAGGTAAAGGACAAAATGCCCTGCAGAAAACATACAGACATATTTAAAAATATAAAAAGTATAGCTTGTAATCAAGTAATTCCTAAATCTTTAAGCTGATTTGAACACAACTGAATTTTAACACAAACATAACTTTTAACCACTTAGTACAAACACTATTCCTCAGATTATATTTTTATTTTTTTAAAAAATTAAACTTCAAAATCTAGGTTTCAATCAAGTTTTAAGAAAGAAAGCTTTTCAAATGGAATCTTTCAATATGAAAGTTAAGAACTAATTTGTATGTATAAAAAGTAAATTTTGAAATATCTCTTCTATATTGTAGTCCATTACACCCACATTGCAAATTTTTTTGTTAATATAGAAAATATATTTAATCACCCACATATAATTTGGCCTTTGGTACTGAAATATTTGGTACTTGATGGTACATAAGTGATCAATTTAAAGCCAATTAATAGAATGATAATGTATTTCATGCAGCTTACAAAATTTGGGGAAAATTTTCCAAATAAAAATATGTAAATTTAAATGAAGCATTCTTTTTCTTTAAGGCATCTTTAAAGTATTACAAAAATCACAAATGTTATAATGTATCAATTGAAACTCTTGAACTCCTTTTATTATATAATTAACCAACTCTTAATCAAAACATTGAAGTGTATTCCTTTGATAGAAATAATTTTGCAAAACCTAATTTGACACTTATGGAAATAAATTTGGAGAAATGTTAATTACAACATACATATTGTTTCATATTCCATTTGGAAGGTATTTTTGTTTCTATTCCATATTTGTACATTTAGTCCTTCATAGAGTGTCAGAGTTTTATTTTATTTTATTTATTTATTTATTTTTGTCAATTGCTTACAAGATAATAGGTATAAGTAAAAACATAGTTATGAATACCTGGATACATATAAGAAAAAAAAATATTTTTATTTTCCATGATTAGGTTGTTAATATTTATCAATATTAAAGCAAACAAGCAAAGTTCTTGTTAGTTTCCTTTGTAAATAATTATCTTTAGCAAAGTGGAATTTAAAATTAAATGTTTCTGTTATTTTCATTGACAGTGATCCATGATCAGAAAGCATCAAAAAGTCTCATAATTTTCTCAAATGTTTATGTCAGTGTTTTTCATGCTGGTTGGGGAAATTCTGTGATTTGAAGTCCACACAAAGTTGCCAAGCTTGAAAAACACTGGTTTGTATCATTCAAAAAAAAAAAAAACCAACAACTTCTCATTATAGGAAATATAAACATTATGGAAAACATGAAAAAGTTTTCTTTGCTTTCCTTCTCCTTGTTTCCACCAGTTTATTCCAGAAGGTCCTGAACCTTCCAGATTAAATTTAGGAAATATTAGAGGGAAATACAGCGAAGAAAAAATGTGTGCAATAATGTGTACAACCTGATCGTGCTTTTTTTTATACATCATAATACCAGTTGACTGCATACAACTGTGAACAACATTGCACATAAGCTTTAGTGTTCCTAACTGTTTCCAAGATTAGTAAAAAGATTCATAAATGGGTCGACAGACAGACAACAGATTGATCAACGATCTTGCTTTTCATAATAAATTTAATATCTTCCTAAATCATTGTCAAAATTGGAAAGGGTTTTTAAAAATAATATTGTGTTATGTTGAAACTTTAAAGTTGAAATCTGATAGTACTATAGCTTTAGAAGTAATGTAATAAATGCTTAAAAACCGGTATGGAGTCACAAAATACTGTATACTTAAAATGATAAATTTCAGATGATGCCATATCATATTCATAAAAGCATGGAAAATGAATTGTAATCTGGCATATAGTTTACTATGGGTGAATACAGTGTTGTTTAGCATAAGATTTGATCTTCTCCTAATTTTGAATAGTCAGTGATATATAAATAAGCCAATATTCCATACAAAGCATACCTAGCAAGTTATGCTGAAATAAAAAAAAAACAAACCTGATGTATTTATGAAAAGCACCTGGGAATTTCATATAAAGATACAATATGTGTTCACTGAACTAAACATGGAATGATCGCTTCAACCATTTCGGACTCCGCCTCAATAGCAAGAAAACTGAGTACTTAGAGACTGTCACCACCCCTGAAACGCTTCAAATCAATGGAGAAAACATAAAGAAGGTGGACATTTTTCAGTATCTGGGATCCAGAGGTGGTTTCAGACAGGTATGAACCGTTAACGTAAATTTTGAGTAGTTCGGAGAACTGGTAAATACCACTTCTGGTTGGCCCCACCCCCATCTATTCACTGCCTCCCAAGTGTCAGCTGATCAATTCCCAGCTGATCGGCTGGGTCTTCTTTTGTTGCCCTGCACAGGAGAACAGAGCTGGAAAGCAGGTGGGGGGTGGGGGGAATGGGGATTTTACAGTATCCTTCCCCTGCCACGCCCACCAAGCCATGCCACACCCACCAAGCCTGCCAAGTCATGCTCACAGAACTGGTAGTAAAAAAATTTGAATATCACCACTGCTGGGATCCCAATGGTGACATCAATGACGAGGTGCAACCAAGGTGAATGCAGCCTGAAAGCATTGGCGAGAACTCACTGGTGTGTTATGTAACAGACGAATGCCAACCCGTCTTAAATCTAAGACATATAAGACAACCATCCATCCTGTTGCATTGTACGGCACTGAATGCTGGGCAGCAACAACAGGGACCAAAAGCTATTTCCATGCTATGGAAATGTAAATGCTCCATTGGATATTGGGCATCTCCCTTCTCGACCTCATCACAAATGACACCATTTGATAACATTTTGGTGTGGCACCAATTATAGAGAAGATGAGAGAAGGCCGGCTCCACTGCTTTGGAGTGGAGAGCAGCACCTTCCACCATTGCCAAGACTGCCTACCAACTAGAAGTCAATGGCCAGTAACCTCGCAAGCACCCAAAACAGAGATGGTAAGACACCATCAACAAAGCTATGCAAGCCGCGGGTGTGAGCCCTGGAGACTCAACTGACCATGCAAAGTGGTGTTCAATGATCTGAAAAGTGGACTCTGCACTTGTGGGAATAAATAAATAAATTCTGCCCATGACAAGACAAGCAGGATGTTGCATAAAAAAATAGTGTGGGTGGTATTTAGCATCTTGACTTAGAGATGATTCAACACTAAGTCCAGGTACTGAGAATTGTCCACTTTTATTTTATTTTTTTAAATAATTGTATGCTTTCCTTATCTATAATGTGATGGGATCATGAATCGGGTTAAAGAAAGCTAGCCTGCTATCTCAAAGTATACAGCAAACAGTATTCTAAAAGTTACTTGACATTGCCAGGAGATTAGGCACATCTGGAACTGTTGTTATTGCTTTCGTTTATTTGAGCATCAACTCTGCAAACTATTTCTGAATCTCCCTCAGGTTTTTATAACATGGAAAATCAGCATTTTAGAATGTCCAAAGCCCTGCTAGGCAGATGTTGCTAACAAGATGACATACATAAAGCAAAACAATTCCACTCCCAAACAAAAAACACTAATCAGTAACTCCATGCACTCCTTGAGCACTTACTATTAAAATACTTAAATCCCTGTATATCAATCTCTGTCTGTGATGCTCAGTTGGTTTGCCAATCAGACCAGTTCCTCATCTGTAGCACCCTATATCAGGATTTTCCAACCCTGTCAACGTTAAGATGTGTGGACTTCAACTCCCAGAATCCCCCAGCCAGCATACTGACTTCTAAATTCTTAGAACTGAAGTCCACACACGTTAAAATTTTCAAGGCTGAGAAACATTACCATATGGAAAATTCATGGGATAGCCAAGATACTTATTATATAGCCTTAGAGAAATAATTCTACACCTGCAGTAGTCGATTGCTAGTGTATTTCTTTGCCATTGTTTGAATTGATTCTTTTTCAAGACGAGGCAAGGAAGAATATTTCAAACAGTCTGGTTGGGTGTTTATTTATTGTCCTGTCTAGGGCAATAATTCTATGTTTGTCTTTGTCTATTTTTTTTTAAAAAAATATTATTTATGGTGTCAGTTTCCCATCAGTTTAAGGCAGCTGATTTTTTTAAAAACATGTGCAACACCGAATCTTATATAACACATAAACTAACAGTAATAATGCAACACTTCAACTACAGGTAGTCCTCGATTTACAATTCATTTAGTGACCATTCGAAGTTACAACAGACCTTTAAAAAAGGTATTTATGACCATTTTTCACACTTACATCTGTTGCAGCATCACTGTGGCCACATGATTGAAATTCAAATGCTTGGCAACTGACTCATATTTATGATGGTTAGAGTGTCCCGGGGCAGTGGTGGGATTCAATTTTTTTTATTACCGGTTCTGTGGGCGTGGCTTGGTGGGTGTGGCTTGGTGGGTGTGGCCATGTGACTGGGTGGGTGTGGCTTTTTTTGCTTTTTTGCCGCCCCCACCCATTTTTGGGAGCTTCCTAGCCTCAGAGGAGCCTCTGGGGGTTGTTTTTGCTCCCCTAAGGCTCCTCTGAAGCTCAGGAAGGCAAAAAATGGAGGGGGGGGCCTGAGCTCCTCCCTCCATTTTTTGCCTTCCTGGGCCTCAGCAAGGGGAATCCTGGCACAGCTGATCTATGCACAGCTGATTGTCGGGAGGGAGAAAAATACCTTAGGCGAATGTCAGGCGGGCGGGGTGAGTGAGCATCGGGCGGGTGGGCTACCGGGTCGGGGGTATGGCCAGCCAGAACTTACTACCGGTTCGGCAACTGACACCAAATTCTTGCCGATCCAGT